TATACTTCATCTGCACCATCTATCATCCACCAAATCATGCATCATATGAAGTCTCCACCATGATTGGTTACATCCATGAATTCTTTAACACTGCATTGGTGAGCGACTCAAAACTCATCATTGAGGGTGACTTCAATCAACTCGACTAGCATTCCATCCTTCAAACAGGTCTACATCCTATATTCTGGGGTCCCACTTACCAAGGTCACAACCTTGACAGAATATATGGAATCAATGTAAACCTGGATATCACTCACACTTATAGGTCACACGTTTCAACACATTATCTTGGGTGGTTGCTGCTCCTCCACCTCAACTAACTAACTCAACATCGAGAAACAACACCACGAAAAAAGCTATCTCATTTTGTCGTTGTCATCCTTCACAAAGTAGCGCTTGCCTTCAACGTCTCAACAACATCGAGTTCAATAATATCTTTGACTTCAGCATCACCACCACCAACAATACTTTACCAGCAATTTTTAATAATAATGCTATTAATTTTGATAATATTATAAATAACAATGATAATAATAGTTCTACTAATAGTAATAATACCAATGATGATGATAATAATAACAACAATATTAACGATAATTCGTTCATAACTAATTCAATTGAGAATTTTCTGCAAACACTGTTACACTGTTTTGATAATTTTTTCAGACTATCACACCATCAAACCTTCCATCAGCCCATTCATCAAATTTCTATTTTGCCAAAAAAATAAATTTATGAGATCTGGATCTATCCTCAAAGCCGCAGCAATCACCAAATACATCAATAAACTAATCATCAACTTCAACTCAAAAACTTTCACTAACAGTAAGCGTGGAAGCAAAGCCATGTGGGGCCAAGTAAACAAGATTAGAGGCTCTGACAAATCATTCAACACGTCAACCTTAGAGCAAATTGATGCCAACACACTCAACACCAAATTTGCTTCCATGTCAACCGACCCGTCCTACAAAACTCCACCAACAAAAGCAACAACAATCAATAGTCGTCACCCCATACTCCGTCCTGCACATGCTAACGAAAGCCTGTCCATCCGTACAGGTCAAGACGGTCTACCAGCATGGTTTTTACAAATTATCGCTCCATTCATCTCTAGCACCTCAAGTTCACTCTACAATCACTGCTTAATGCATTTATTCATCCCATCACAGTAGAAATCCAGCACAATTTATTCAATTCCTAAAACAAAATACCCATCATCAACAATAGATTATCGCCCAATATCTATCACCCCCATACTTTCACGTATTCTAGAAAGATTCATCGTTAGGTCATTCATCTATCCACGTTTCAACCATCCATCCATCAAACCACTGTTACAAGATCGGTTTGCATTTCACCCTACAGGTTCATCTACATCCGCCATCATCTCTCTTACTTCTACAGTAACATCTTTCCTTAAAAATAATAATTATGTTCATCTTATTGCTTTCGACTTTTCTAAAATTTTTGACACTCTTCATCACTTCTCACTTTCAAATAAGTTAGCCTCTCTTCCTCTACCTGACAACATTTACAATATTATAACAAATTTTCTTTTTAATAGGAGTCATTCTACATTTTTTTAGCTTTATCATTCATGCAACTAGTTTTTATTTATTTATCACCTCACTAACTCACTAAGTCATCATCTAGTCTATTAATTTGCCTTTTTAAGCCATTACTTCATTTTATTGTAAATTTATTTCATTTCATTTTCTTTTATTTATTTATTTTAGTATTTATTATTGATTTTATACTATTTTATTTTACTTTTAATGTTTAAACATTTTTCTTTCTCCATTTTTTTATTTATTTATTTACTTACTTGTTTAATTTTATACTACTGCCTTGCATGCTGTAATAGTTCCTGCGTCTGTCAGTTCCTGATTTTTAAAGAATAATAATAAAAAAAATTTTCTATATCTCAATCGGTGTCTAAACTTGTTTGTAGATTGACATGTAGTTGTAGATACGGGCTTAAGTATCAGGTAGGAGTTTCATCGTCTTCTTCGCTACATAATTTCGCTCCTTGTTTTTTGTTCAGTAATTTCTTGTCAAAAAATGTATAAATTATAAACAGTAGTATTCCCTTGTTTAAAATACATTTCGACCAAAGAATGGTACTTTTTCGTGTGGCGAACAATGTCAAAAAGGGTTATGCATTCTAATCGCATTCCATTTACACTTTTATGAGTTCAACAAACTTTAATTTTTGGTTTATTAATGCTTGGAATAACGTTTTAATGAGTTTTAAAATCAGTCGAGCAAATTTCAAATTTTTTCATATATATTCAAAATCATCACTATTATCTTCTTCATCATCACAACCATCTTATCTCCATCATCATTTTCATCATCCTCATCAATATGAAATTATAACAAACATTCAATATTAAATTTGACATCGTCAACTATCTCACCAATTATATACAAATAATCATATATTAGAATGCAGTGTAGTTTTTAATTTTTCTGTACTTTCTGTTGCTATACAGTATCTCTGTGTTATTGTTGAGTATTTCTTTAGTAATTGCTGTTCCATGGTTATAGATTAAGTTATTTTTTATTTAACCAATCAATCAATCAATCAATCAATCAATCAATCAATCAATCAATCAATCAATCAATCAATCAATCAATCAATCAATCAATCAATCAAATATTTTATAAAGCACTATTTTTGCGATGTTCAACAACGCTCCTCAGTGAATTTTGCAAACAGATGAATCTTGAGATCCGCTTTAAACTTCGTGAGTGATGGAGAAATAGTCAGAGAAGGAGGTAAAAAGTTGTAAAGAAAATGGCCAGAAAAAGCAAATGCGAGTTAAGAAGTAGTGAATACAAGAAGACGGTCGTAAACCGGGGCATTTAGGTTCCATTAATATATCTGATAAGTACTTGAGAAATAATTTAGAATGAGATTTAAACATAAATGTGCAAATTTTAAAAATTATTCTATATTTTATAGGTACTCAGTGCAAGACAACAAGGTATGGAGGTATATGAAAAAAAGGGGCACCAGCAAATAGGCAAGCAGCAGAGCTAAAAGCTTTACTTAAAGGATAGAGTGTAGAATCAGAAAGATCATAGTAGAGCAAGTTACAATAATCAATCCTAGATAAAACTAAAAGAGTCAAGAAGAGGCAAAAGTTTTCTTATTTTACGTAGATAAAAGTAAGAACTTCTAGCAACACTATTAATCTGAGAAGAAAAAAACGTGCTAAAATCAATGATAAAGCCTAGACTACGAAACTTGTGAAAAACATCAAGAGTTTTAAAATCAAGTAAGATAATAGAGAAAATAGTAATAGAGCGTTTAGATTTATTAAAAAAATTAATTCAAATTTAGAAGGATTAAGTTTAAGACACATAGGGTCCGACCAAGCAATAATTGAAGAAAGACATAGAAATAGATTATGAAGAACATTATTGAAATTATTGCACCTCTTTGTGTAGGCATAGTTAATTTTTGTGTCAATGTAGTAGTATATATATTCTGAATATATTCTGAATTTCTGAATAACTAAACTGAAAACAAAATTAAATGGAATTATTAAAGATATCCATAAAACTGCCGATGATAATATCCCAGAACTGATTAGTGAATATGAACCAGGCTAACTAATTAAGGCTTATAATTTGTCAAATACCAACTGTTTTTTGCGCCATTTTGTAGAATATGGGGTATTCAGATCTCAACTAAAGTTCAAGAAGATTCAGCCCAGGACTTTTCTCAGAATGTGTGCAGTTACGATCAAGGCACCCCTAGAATCTCAAAAATGGTTGATAATGGCCAAGGAGTGTTTGTAGATGTTTATCTATTTTTTTGTCTATCTGTTTCTAGTGTGCCAACTATGATTACGAGTCATCTTTGTTTTGTTTTTTTTGTTTCACATTCTACTTAATTCTATTCTTAAGTTTTAGTATTTACTTTTTTGACTCATTTGCGATACCTAATATATAGCAAATTTTTTCTTGCTTGCTATATAGGACGGTTGGTCGTTATTTTCTGGTCTGTGTATGTGTATAATTTACGTTTATCATCTCGTTTGGAATATGCCTAACATATTTGATACACACAACTGCACCCAAGGTCTTGCAAATTAGCCATTGTATATAGCATGCCACTTTATTGTATATGCAAACGAATGAAATATATTTACTGTTTTATTTTTTTATTTTGTATATTTTTCATTAATCTCATGCCTAATTACGTATTTTGCTAGAGCAGAAGACTTTTTAAGTTTGGAAAGATTAAAAATTTTTAGCGAATGAATAAATTTTTCAATTGTTATAAAATTAATAGAGAGATTTGACTTAGAATTTGTATTTTGAATAATAATATTAACTTATTAAAATAATTTTGTAAAATTTGGTTAAAATTTACCATAAAATTATACGTTGATCAGTAAAAATTTACCATTCTTGTTAGCTTATCTATTTTTCCATTCATTTATTTATTTTCTGTTTTGTTTGTTGTTTTAATTTTTGTTGCTTTCCTTTTTGACTTTGCATGATTCACTTTTTTATTTAATTTTTTCTGTTCTACAGAAATTTTTTTTTTATAATTTTAACTATTATAATTTTTTTCATTTAACTTTTGTTCATTTTATTACATTTTATTCCATCGATTTTATTTTTTCCACATACTTCATTTTTAACTTAATCTGCTCAACTTTACAATTTTTCTTCATATTCAGTTTCGTTATAACCTAAATTATCTATTGTATAAATTATCTATTGCATAAAAGAATTTTTTTTTAAATTGATTTCTAACCTCAATTTTTTTTCTGACCAAAATACAATAGCGACAGATCATTGCCAGATTTAATGGTCCAAAATCTAAATTGAAACTGAAATTTTATTTAAAAATATTTATTTGGAAAAACATTAATGATAAACAATTACTTAAAATGCTACTAAATTTATTTTATACTCGTCTAAAAATTGTTTATAATTTAAATAACTTTATATTATTATTACATTATGAAGGTTGCACGATGATCTAATGTGATGAAACTAATATATGTTAAAAGCGTACTTCTTGTAAGTGAATTGATCATCCGTGCAAAAATAATGCACCTCCGAGGAACTTTTAAGTTTATCATTTTGAAATGTCAAGAAGTAGAATTTATCTGTATGATGGAGAAATATAAAAAAAACCAACATCAACCGTTTGTCATTATAACTTTATTTTATTAACTTATATAAAAAATTTAAATGTTAAGCAAACATTGAAAAACGTAAGCGGATTGTGAAAATAGATAAATTTTATTTATTCTTATTAAAACCCCGGTAAGTATTTAAAAACACTACATTTTGTGTTTAATAATTGGTCTTTTTTTGCTTTTCAAACTTCTGAAAACACCATGGTCATGTGCATATATAAAGAAATGAAAACAACAATATGAGAGGAGACTAATATATGTAGAGGCGAGTTTACAATAAGGGTCAGCATTGAACCTATTACTGTTTATAGCAATATAGTCGTGGTACCTGATACCGCGAGAACAGCTTTTCGTGGATGATCAGGTTTTATTTGCAAAAAATGAGAGGAAGTTAAAAAAAACTCATTAAATGGAAAAGTGTATTAAAAGTAAAAAAATACTAAAATGTTATGGATAGAGAATAGTCAAGGAAGGATGGAGTGTGGAGCTCTACACTGTGCTCTGTGTGGTAAGGGAACGAAATGTAATTGTTGCGCTCAAGCTGTAATAAGTGGAACAATTATAGTTAAACGAAGATAAGTTCTATGAAATATTAGAAGGTACTCAATGCAAATTCTATTTGCTGAGGGTTTGAAGCAAAAATGACTGTGAAAGAAGGTCAATTTTTCGAAAAGTTGGTCACGTTTTGTTACCTGAGTCCAGGACTAGATTGTACCGGACCCTAGGCAAAATACCAAATTTGGCACTCGTATTTTGATAATAACTTACTGTTGAGATTTTGTCAACTATATTTTATATTATTTTACGTTTTGCCAAAATTAAACAGTCATTCCAATTATTCAGTTTAACAAATTACATACATTTTTTCCAATTTTTTTCACATTGTATTACACTTAGGAATCATACAATACCTTGAACGATGACCTAGAAACATTTGCATCATATAATCATTATTCGTCTGCGACAAAACAGTTGCTACGAAAGTGGCTGTAGCTCCTCAACTCAAATTTTATGTTATGGAAAAAATACCAAAATACGTAAAATTCAACACAATATTTTCGTTTAGTCTTTGACTTATTTAACAAAATTTTCACATTTTTGCTATGAAAACAAATCAACGCAACATGCTTTTAACAGAATATTAGTTTGAAAAACCTATTGATGCAAACTCTTTTATTAATTTGTCGAAATTTTATTGTAAACTATACTGAAGCTAAAATATTTCTCAAAAACTTACAGCTCGTAGAAAACACCGGCCATAAGTAGAGTCAGAGTGTTATATTAAATTAGCTCAAAATATCTTGGCACAGAAATATCTGCTAACTTTTGTTTTTCTTCATATTTACTTAAATAAAAGTAATTAGTGTGTTTGCTTATTGCCACTCATTGCTTTACTATATCATGTCAATGTTCTCTGGATCTGAGAATAGTTCGATAAATGTAAATATTTCATCTTTAAAGTCCTTGAAAAAACAACAAAAAAAATTACTAATTTTCTTATATTTTTAAATTTTGTATTGATTTTACAAATAACACAAATAACTCCCGTTTTTTTGAATGTTAATACCATGTTTGCATTGTTAGTTGTTGCATATCAACAAAACTTTGTATTTTTTGTATGTACATTTTAATGTCTTCCTTTGCTACGCTGGAAATGTTGGCTGTGCTTTTTGGAATTGTCTCAAAAACTGTTTATTAAATTGTATAGTTTATAAACCACAATTTGTGTTACTCCGTAATAGAATGTGGCTACTCTAATTATTTTCTTCTTATTATTATTAATTTATATCGCGTCCTATGCATAGCTTCTGGGGCGCTTGGATAAAAATGACTTTTGACGTTTCCGTAGGCCTGGATAAACATAAAGTTCTTTAATCGTTTCCTAAAAAGTTTGATGATTGGTTATTGACGAATGAAGGCAGGCAAACCATTCCATATGGAAAGAGAGCTGTATGTAAAACATTTGTTGACAATTGATGAATTGATGCAACTGAATATATGAAGACGAGCGAAATTGACGAGTTGATGAACGACGCGATATAAGTTGATGATGGTAGAGATGTAATATTAAGTAGCTTGTACGCGAGGACGGCGAGTTAATATATAATGAGTTGACGTACCGGTAACCAATGTAGTTGAATGAGTGAATCTGTGCTGGAAGATAAATTACTGATATTTAGAACAACTGTTGCAACTCTATTTTGAGCTCTCTGAAGTAAGATTAAAACGTAAGAAGGAAGACTGTAGAGAAGAGAATTACAATAATCTAAACGTGATAGCGTAAACTTTTTCGGATCATATTACATTTGTTGCCAGAGCCTGCAATTATCATATCAAGGAACTACGTCACATCAGACAATTTTTATCAATCGATCTGGCTAAGAACCTGGCAGGTTGTTTAATATTGTCCAGGCTCGACTATTGTAATTCAGTAATGTTTGGCATATCTCAGAAGCATAAAACACGTCTACAGAGGCTGATGAATTGGGCTGCCAGAGTTGTACTGAGCATTGATACACCACCAAATCGTCTAACATTTGCAACATCAAATTGAAACAGATATAGAGCTGCAAGAATAACTGTTGGACGTAGAAAGTATGACCATGTGACACCCATTTTAAGAGACCTACATTGGCTAACAGTGAAAAAAAGAATCAACTATAAGATTTGTATGACTATGTATAAGGCTTTGAACGGGTTGTTACCAGTATATCTAGTAAATAAAATCTTAAAAAAACCAGCTTCTTCAACAGGTGTAAAATTGAGATCAGACTATGGCAACCTACTGGAAGTGACAACTACTCAACTACAAACTGCAACTAGAAATATTGCCGTGTCAGGACCAATTGCCTGGAACAGTCTTCCGCAATCGCTCAGAATGCCTGGACTAAAGCTTGATGATTTTAAGAGGAACTTAAAAACATATTTATTTTGACATAGAAATACTTTATCGATTTGTACTTTATTGACCTTCACTGATTTCATTTATAATAGAGAGCGCTTTCGAGAAATTTCAATTTTATAATGCGCTTAATAAATTGTTGATAATAATAATAATAATATATATATATATATATATATATATATATATATATATATATATATATAAGAACTAGGTTTTCTTTTATGTAAACATCATTGAAGATAAATGCCCATTTTGCATTAATGACTTTTTTTATTAAACACTCAAGACATCTGAATTTATTGAATCCATATTTATTTAAAACAGTATACATGGCGCTAACATCGCTGTTTCGGATAGTTTATCGTCAGAGCCTTTGCAAATGACCCGAAACCACCAGCGTCGCGTCACTTCGAATCTGAGTCGGCGTCCAAACACGATATATCGTTCAACAGCGAAAATGTGACCGCTCGTCAGAGGACCAACGTCGCTGTATCGCTGGTTTTATTCGATAGTGCATTCTAATATCCTCATTAGCTTTGATCTATGTATTTTATTTACATTTCTTTTATTTTATTTTAATTTTTATTGTTCCATAAACCTTCCATATATATTTTATCTTAGTTTATTTTATTGTGTTTATTTCAATATTTTACCTAAATAAATTAAAATTACCTATATATCTTAGCATATCTAACAACTAAATTTTGACAATTCCTTTCATTCTTTCCATACTTGTCCACTGTTCACATTGAACTAATTTATTTTACGTTTTATCAAATTTTATTACATTGATTTTAATTCGTACCTAACTAAATCTCAATATTAATTGATTAATTTATTAGTTTCAATATTTTAATATAAGGTTACTGGTTTTTCGGCAAAATCCTAGGACAGTGCCTACAATGTAATTGAAAACACATTATAAATGCGGGAGATATGTATGAAAAAGAATGAAAAAGAGTGCACATAAACAACGACCAATGAGATAACTAAAAAAGGGAACGCAACAGCTGTAAGTGAACGACCAATGAGATAACTAGAAAAGGGAACGCAACACAGCTGTAACTTAATGAATGAACGAAAATATGGAGTTATCGAAGTGTTAATGTCACGAGTATAAAATATCAATTAATCGATTGCAGGCGGCAATATAGATTAGTATTTATATAAATTAAATTTTTGGACGAAAAGATTGTATACATTTTATTCTCTTTTACCATCTCAAAATTTGTATTTTTTACATTAAATAATATCAAACAAATGTACTAATAAAAATAATTATAAAAAATTGAAATTAAGAAAATAGAAAAATTAAGGTATCATAGTCCCTAGCATATGTTGCATTTCTTTCTAACATGTACAATGATATTTCCAAAAGGCAACTTACCGAATTTTTCTCTCCACATAAATTCAGCTAAATATGTAGCCTTCAAGTCTTTGGATGTCCCATACATATATTTAAATGTACCTACGCTTCAATCTGGCCCACATCGATTCGATATTTTGTGTGTGCACCCGTGACTGGATCAACAAAATTTACACTGTGATTCACTGTGATGTAAGTATAACCCAAGTTGTTCAACTGACTGTACGCACGCCACTCTTCAGAGACTATTGTTGTCCCAGGAGCAATCCATTTTTGAAGGAGAGGGATTAGAGTTTGTAAGTCTCGTGCCTGTACCTCCTCTGCAAAACATATTCTTGTCCCTCGCTGTATTCCTCCAAACACCCATCCATCTTTATATCTGTTGTTTCTTCCCCTATAATATTTTGCCTTCAGAATTTTAGTTTCATCTATTTCTACAATTGTTCCGGGACCCCCAATCTGTACAAAATTATCTATACAACGGTCTATAAAAACGTCCCGGCAAAAATTGTACCAGTCCACGACAATATTTTTATTTACGCCAACCTCCCTTGTCAAATATACGGGCATTTTCCATGCCCAACAATAAAGAATTTGTATCGTTTTTGACATCTCTAATTTACTATTTTTAAAAAATGAATCCTTTCGAATACTTGTCCTCATTTGACAATTTTTTTGGACATCGCCAAATGATTTGGTCAACTTTATTAACTAAATGAATAACCACGTA